TTTGATTACAAGCGTGAGACAGTCAAGATACAGGCTAACGGCGGACTGATGAAGTGACTGAAAGGCCAAGACAGTGATTTGGTACACAATCAGGGCAGTTGTGCGGACGGGACTGTTCTGGTCTGATGCAGTTGTTTTACCAGCAGTTCTGTACCACGTGGCCGTCAAAATGGCAAAATTTTTCACTGGTCGTATGGCGCGGTTTTCAAAAGCATTCATTTGCTGTGTTTCGAAGAACTGATTTTCACTCTTATCGTTCGTACGTTGCGTCGCGCCTGCTTGACGCAATAACATCTGCTTGACAGCGGTCTTTTTCAGTGTTGAATCGCAACAAAACCGCAATGAGTGAATATCGTAGCACGATTGCAGCCCGGCCAGGCTTTAACCGTGCCAGCACAACAACCAGCGCTACCTCGTACGGAGGGCTTCGTTAGTCTTCGCCACTTCTTTGTTTCTTTCTTTTTTTCGCAACTTTCAATCTCCGGGCTTACTGCTTTTCATACACGGCGCAGTCGCTAATTGTTGCTCTAGCTATGCAGCAGTTGTGGCAGCTCTTCCGGTTGCTTTGTTCAATGCTGCACATTCTGATGGTCAGTCTGCAGCTGGCTGTCCTGACGTTCGTTTCATCGCCTTAGATGTAACGTTCGGGCGGGAGAGGAGCTGAAGATAGGGCCCTGCCTAGCGGGGAAGTGCAACACCAAACAATAGCTTCACTTCTTTATTAGTTCAATCGCACAAAAGAAAAAAAAGACAATTAGCAAAACAAAACAAACTAGCCCGGGATTCGCCCGGCAGCAGCTCAAAGCTGCCACCGCACACTCCCAGATCGCGCAAAATCAAACAATTACACCCACAGTTTCATTCTCAATCATCACATTAAATATCACGGAGGAGGGAGCTCGAGCTAAGAGACGGTATTGGAAACTGAAGGGCAACTGGGCAAGGCGAAGGGGATTGAGCCTCCAACTTCGCTTCCTTGTTATTCTCTCCTTCCTTTTGCAACATAGGGGTTTCATAGTGAAAGGGAGTTTCCGTGGACTGTCAGTTTTGTTTTGTTGTAGCATCTGGCAATCGTGTGGTGAAGGTGGTAACGGAGATGAGCTCATCGTCGCTGACAAGTGGAATGTCACCGTTCGGCCAGAATGCTGCATCCACAATTCGGGACGCGCGTGAACGGGAGAAAAAGGAAATGAGCGATCTGAACGACCGTCTCGCCGATTACATTGAAAAGGTTGCCAAGCAGCAGCAGTATCACTTGCACTTACAACGGTTTCAGTAGGAGTGTTGGGGAAGAGGTCTGTGAAAGGGGGAAAGAGAATTTGGCTTTTTTGGGCCATCAGTGTCCATGTGAAAGGAATGAATTGAGTCAAGAGAAAAGCAGAGTCAGTTGTGCGGGAAATTAACTATGAGGAGCAAATGAGTCAGTATTCGAATCAAAAATGCAGGAATCTGAGTCGGGCCATGCAGGCATCTACGCAGATTCGGTCGAAGACATTTAGCTAAAAGGCGCAAAAGTGGGATGTACCTACCTGCATTGAAATAGCATAAATTGGGCCTAAAAAAGGTTAAAAGACGCTCCCGGCTGAGATCCCATGTTTTCAGGTGCGTTTTCTCGAAGCGCAGAATCGCAAGCTCAATGCTGATTTGGATATGTTGCGCGGACGTTGGGGCAAGGACACGTCAAGCATCAAGATTATGTTCGAAGGCGAGCTGAACGTAAGTTCCGCCCGAATTGCTTTCAACTTCACTGAATCTCTGGAAGTGTTTTTCCGGGACGTCTTAAATTTCGCTGAGAAATTGCTCCATTAGATGCGGTTTCTTATTCATTTCACGTCCGCGAGGGCTTGATACGTAACACGAAAGTTCACTCCTGCAGTGTGCCATCTTCATCCAAAGTGATGTTAACGAAGCGAGTGCACAAATGATTTTTGTGCTGCAGCAATTACACGGAAAGCGTATTGCTGGGACCTAGTGTGCGTCTCAAGTGTGTTTTATCCGGGTTTTCAACTCGGGAACCAGAAAAGCTGTAAAGGTGAAATTTTAAGGGGCATTTCGCAGATTCAGTTTCAGCACTTGCATACACTTAGGTCTCGGATACGCTCACGTGAAAGTATTGACGCCCAAATTAATAACTCAGGAAGCACAGAAACTAGAAAGCTGGAATTTTAAGAGAGTGTCACTTCTCCGCTTGTGACCCGTAAGTTAAACTCAACTTTCATCTAGGTCCGGCGTACAGCACGTGAAAATTTTGCACCAAAATTATCAGCTTGCGAACCAGAAGAGTTAGCTGAAATTTTGGCAGAATATCTCTTATCCCCATTTGATCCCGTAAGCTGAAATTGAGCCCCTCGCATTCTTAGGTGTTACGCTTGGACACACTTGATAATTTTGGCGTCAACGAAGACCACAAAAGCTAGGAAGCTGAAACCTTAAGGGAATGTTCCCTGCCTGCATACAACCCGTAAATCTAAAATCAGCCTTCATGTATGCCTCGAAATCACGTGCGGGCGCGTGAAAATTCTGGTGTAAAAATTATTATCTGGGGAACCAGAAAGGCTAGAAAGTTGAAATTTCTGAAGAATGCTTCCTACCCGCATATAAATTTAGTCCCAGCGCGCATGCAGGTCACATGTACGACCATGTGAAAGTTTTACTCGAAATTTAGTAACTCAGAAACCAAAAAAATTTTCATACTTATCAAACAGTAAAGCAGTGAACATTTCTAACAGCAAGGCTCCCTCGGAGAGGGTTGAGCAAGCGTCTGTTGGACAGGGTTGCACAAGCGTCTACTAGGCCGGGTTCCACAAGCATCCGCCAAGCAGAGTTGCACAGAACTGAAGATCACAGCAGCTGCCCTGCTTCGTGCAGCTGTTTATTTTCATTTGTTTCGGTTGTCCACGAAAAGCCGGTACAATTTGGAAGTGTCGCCGTTTGTTATAGCAACATTGGTCACAGCGGTGTGGTTCCACATAACAGTACAAAAGATCAAGCGGCTGTGTGTGGAACAGTGGCTTAGTAGTGTAAGAGTTAAAACGTCACGATTCGAAGGATTCACAGATAGCAGTAATGGGGAGTTTGGTTCTACCCAGGTTCATAGAAGGCTACATCCATCGGTTGTCCCCAGCGAAGCAACATCCTAAGCGCTCCCGTATTCTTCACTCCTTTCTTGTCTTCCCTCCCTCTCCTTCCCACGTACCCGTTACTGTAGAAAATGAAATATTTGAAATTTTACATGTTCCCTCAGGAAATTCAATTCTTTGAAATTTCAGAGGAGAATTTAAAAATGTGCAGATTTGATTGAAGTTTACATTAGTTTTAGCGTCTACAACAAAAAACATCTCAATTCGCTCCGGATCGGTCATTGTGACTGTTTGAAAACACAGATCAGTTCCTGCATAATTTTTCGCGCTTTTTTGTAAAATGATAAGAGGTTTCGGAAATACAAGAATTAAATATTTGCAGTGTTTTTACACGCCAACAATCCAGCACTACTTGCAAAGTTTGTGTAAGCAGGTATCCCGTGCAAGTAATGTCATTGAGTTGCTCCTGCACAGCTTGTGTAGCTGTGTACTGTTTTAGTTTATAAAGCAGAGTGTTTTTTGAAAAAACAAAAACGCCCCGTTATGCAGTTTTTAGGGCGAAATTCAAATATTCCAGCAGAGGAAGATCCATGCATTAGAATATGTGCAGACACAGAGAGCTAGCTTCTTCCCTGCGTGTTGTCCATCCCAGTAAAAACAGAATTCTGCCTAGACAGTTTGTCTAGTCCTGCTGGATAAAAGTTCCCTATTATTTTTGGTTTCTTCTGTTGCAGGAAGCTCGTAAAGTGATCAGTGATACAGGAAAACAGCGCGAAGAGCTTGAGAAGCAGATCAAGAAGATGCAAGATGAACTAGCCGAATACCGCAGAAAGTGCGCCTTCGGAATCTTAATTCCCATAAAAAACTTTTGCTTAAAGCTGACTTAGGAGGAGAATCGGAGGGGACATGAGCGAAGTTGGCGTCGGAGGAAGCATTCAGTGGAAAAATTTTCCTCCTGATAACAGATAGCAGCACTTGTATTTTCTGATCAAGGCGAGTAAGTTAAAAAGCCTGAATCCCGGAATACTACTGGTGAAGGAGGTGATTCGGAGAGAAAGTGAGGTAGCAGACAGAGAAAGATACTTGTTGTTGTGAAGTCTCCTCAAATGAAGCATGAAATTGTTTAGCTTAAGTAGCTTTATAGCAAACACACATGACCAGCAAAGTATTGCTAAAAGCTGTTAGTGGCTTTACCCCAATGGATCGCAGAAAAGTTCGTTTGGATGATAGCTATGAAGGTTTCCTTCAGGACGGTGACGGTGAATGGGATGACTGGCAAGTTTTTTTTTTACCGTGAATTTGGGGCAGTTCATACCTTGGTTAACCACCGACTTATTCTCTAGTTGTGCGGCTGGAGACTTTGCCAGTTGCTTTGGGCTGCATTCCCCTGTTGGCCAGTTTTATGTTCGTTTCATCTTCTGGGAAGATTACAAGTGCAGTAGTTCCTTCATAAGATTCAGTTGGCATGACTCTAGGCATAGCGAATGTTACGGAGCAGCACCATTTTGTCCCGAATGTTGCTCGTGGTGAAGGATATTTTAACGCGTGAGACTATTTTTTTTTACCGTATTACAGCTGCTGTCATATATCTTTTGTGAGGCACATAGATGATGATTTTTCAACTTAAATTTCGTTTTTTTGTTATTTATGCCATTAAGTTTAATTTGCATGGTGCTTTTGCTAGTCGGCATTGCTTGTAGGTTCCATGAGGCAACAAAG